GGCCCGGCGGGCCCGGGGGGGGCGGCGGCAGCTGCCAGAGCCGGCGACACTCCAGCCCACGCCTTTGTAGAGAGGGCTGCTTGCCACAGCTCCTGTATTTTTAAAATAAAGTATTTCCATAAACAGGAGCGAAGGGCTGCTTGCGCCACGTGGCCGGGGCGGGCGGGGAAGCAGCCCCGTGGCCGGCTCCCCTCCCCTCGGGCCCGGCGACCGCCCCACGCGTGGCTGGGGCCAGCTGAACAAGAGCAATAAAAGCCGTTTTGTGTCGGCTGGGTGGCCCGGAGAAGGCTAGTGGCACCACGCTGAGATCTCCTGAACCTACGGCAGCTCCCGCCCTCAGCTCGCCAAAGTCCACAGCATCTTCTCCGGGCGCTCCAGCCTGAGGCGAGCTCGGGGCTGGCCTCTCTTCTCCTGGGCCGGCTCCGGCCTCCGCGCAGGAGCCACAGGTCGCCCGTTGCACTGGAGCTGGCTGGGATTTGTGGAGGGAAGAGTTTTCCATGAGAAAATGCTGTTTCGCCAGCTGCAGAATGTGTCGTGGGCACGTGTTGGGTTTGGGCCGTTTTCCATGGACGCGTTTCAAAAAGATGGGGAACTAAAAGGGCCTCGTGTTTGGATTTCGTCTTGCGTTTCCCAGGGTGTCCAGGTCTGGTTCTCCTGTTCCAGTCTGAACTGGACAGTGTCTGAGCTGCGGGTGTCAGGTATTGGCGCACAGGGGCAGGAACAGGCCAATAAGCTCTTCTCAGGCTTTCAGCGATGAGGCTTTTTCTCCATTCGGAGGAAATTTCAACTTTACAGCCGGGTTCTAGATGGAAGCAAATATCCCGCAGGCCGGGTGGTGTCTGGTGTCTGCCTAGCTCTAGTTCTCCTGCTGCCCCTGCCTCCACAGAGCAGCATGCTCCTGCCAGTGGCTTCCCCTCCCCGCAGAGCACGAAGCCCCATGGCAAACCCCGGGAGCTGCTGGTGGGAGCGCCCCCCGGCAGGGCCCCCAGACAGCAGGGCAGATTTAGGCACCCTGCTCGGCTGCCCACAATCCAGTGGCCATCAGGCAACAAGTGACCCCACTGGCACTGGTGCTACGTAACCCGCTGCGAGCAGGAGGGTCCTCGGCGCCCGCCCCCACGCGCTGTGAGGCTACGTCTACACTGCAGGCTTCTTGCACAAAAACGTGGTGGGCATCTACACTCAACACGCGCTTGTGCAAGTAAATTTACAGTCTAGTGTGGGAAAACGGCTTCTTCCGGAAGAGTTCTTCCTGTCCCCACGAGGAGTAATCCCTCTTGCACAAGAAGCCAGTGTAGACAGGCAACAGGAATTTCTTGCGCAAGAAACCCCTATGGCTAAAATGGCCGTCAGAGCTTTCTTGCGCAAGAGAGCGTCCCCGCTGCCATAGACGCTCTTGCACAAAAGCACATGGCAATGTGGACGCGCTCTTGTGGAAGACCTTTTGCACGAGAACTCTTGTGCAAACCAGTTCTTGCACAAGAAGCCTGCAGTGTAGATGTAGCCTAAGTGCTGCGCCCCGACCTCTGCCCTCTCCTGCCCCCTGGGCCGCGCCCCGACCTCTGCCCTCTCCTGTCCCCGCCCCGACCTCTGCCCTCTCCTGCCCCCTGGGCCGCGCCCCGACCTCTGCCCTCTCCTGTCCCCTGGGAAATGGCCCCAAACTGTGTCCTGTCCTCCTCGCCGGGCTGCGCCCCGACCTCCGCCCTGGCCTCCTGGGCGGCTGCACCCCAACCTGGGTGCGCTGATCCTCTGGGATTGCCCCCTGTGTCC